GGGGAGGGAGACTGAGGCCGGAGAGGCCACACTGAGGTTCATCGTGATAGACACCGCAGAGCTGGGGACTAAGTCAGATACAGTGAAATCTTGAGTATGAGTTTGGCCTCTGTCTCCGTTGTACTTATTTCTGCACCCTGGGTCAGAGATTGATTAAGCCATAGAGTGGGAATGCCACACCTGTGAGTGGGAAATTGCTCACCTAATAAATTGCTGTTGCTTGCTGATCTTTGTTCATGTACTTTAGCGGTCAGGATGCAATGGAGACAGTGTGGTAAACCCAGTTGGCCCCTTCTGTTAAGGTCACCTCTCGAACGGATCCTCCCACCAGCTAGGCCATGTGACCTCTCTCTCAACATGGTGTGTGAGGAGTCCTACTTTGTTATTACTATTATTTTTTATGGGATTATCCTCTCCTAAGAGTATGCTAGTTCTAGCCCTTAGGCTCTCTCCTTCTTTCTTTTTTTTTTTCCATTAAGTTTATTGGTACATTTTAGGTAAACAATATAGGTACATTTATCATTGGGGTCTTGTACCTTTACGTGATGTATCTCAGCAGGCATCCTACCTTAAATAGTGAAAGAGAAGCTGTCAGTTGCTTACCATGGTTGACTGGGTCTAGAGGGTCCTTAGTGTTGCAGAACCCAATCGAGGTATTGTATGAGTTCTGAGCTCAGTTGGCAACCCATTTTGTTCATAGGTAAAGCTAGCGCATTCTTTTTTTTTTTTTTTTTTGAGACAGGTTCTCATGATGTAGTTGAGACTGACCTGGAACTCATTGTGTAGCCCAGGCTGGTCTTGAACTCACAGTGATCCTCCTGCCTCAGCCTCCTGAGTGCTGGGATTACAGCCCTGCCCTACCACACCCGGCAAAGCTAACACATTCTTAATAGCTGTCACCTAGAACAGTATATGCAGGTGCTTGGTGCATATGTTACGTTGCAAAATTAACTGTCTGATCATATCTGTTCTATTGCCTTAAGTGACTGAGTCTTAAATTTCAGACATTTTTATTCATTTGTGAAGTTTTTTTTTTTTGTGGCCTTGGGGATCTTCTGATTTGAGGCAGGCAGCGTGGCACCACTGAGCTAAATCCCTGGCCCCAGTTTTGAGTTTTGTTTTTAGACTAAGTTGCTAGCTTTTTGGGATCAGAAACCAGTGTCTCCCATGTACCTATCTCCTAGCTGAGTTATCTTGTACTTACTATGCTTAATCAGTGAGTATAATTTATTAGAGTAGTCTTAGTCGGTTTTGTTTGAATTTGGAATTGCTGGCACTTGTACTTTAGATAGGAACATGTGTTATATAACAGAGTCTCAGACTTTGCCAGAAGACCTGGGTTCTAGTTCCTGATCTTGCTCTTAACGGCTCCGTGACCTTTGAACGCGCTATGTGACTGCTCTGGGATTTGCCATTTCCTACAGGTTGTTAAAATTACACTTTCTCAGGCCATAGTCCAAGATTATATTATATTATATTATATTTATTTATTTTTGTCTTTTTGAGACGGGGTCTCACTGTGCATTTCAGGCTAGCCTTGAACTCACTGCATAGCCCATTCTGGCCTCAAACTGGAGGCATTCCTCCTGCCTCAGCCTCTCAAGTGCTGGGATCACAAGTGTGCATCACCACACTTGGTGCAAGATACTATTTTAAAGATAATAAAGTAAGGAAGTTCTGTTACTTATTTTTCTCCCTACCTCTAGTGGAACAGGGAAATAACATGGAAATAGTGCAATACCCATCTCCCACGAGGAGATAATTAACCTATTTGTAACTGCCTCCTAGCAACAAAGGAGGGCTGGGGATTTAGCTCAGTGGTCCCCCTGCCTGCTGGAGTTCGATCCCAAGTACCAAAAAAAAATAAAAAAAATAAAAAAGGCAACAAAGGAAATTTAATTCGTATGCAGAACGGGACCATCATCTTGGAGTGCTTTGAAAATGAGGTGTTGGTGTTACCACATCCGCCAGCAGAGCCATGTGGCAGACACTGCCCAGTCCGTGTTTGTCCTCTGCCGTCTGCAGGCTGACTTCCTCCTTCTGCCCATGGCTCGTGGCCAGGTACCCGGGTTGCCTGGCTGCACAAAGCCACTGGTCTGTGACAGGGAAGTTGGGCCCTGGCCAGGCCTTGACTAGAGCCGCTCATGACTCCTGATCGCAGCCCACCCACACCCTGCAGCTGTGCCCAGGCCTCGGTGGCACCATCCTGGCATTGAATGCTGTCCACACTTGGCCCCTTCCTGGGCAGCCAGTCTGGTTTTCCCTGTCCACACCTGTTGCTTGCTGTCCTGCTCCCTTAGGTCCTCCTCCTTCTGTCCAGTGTACCTGTCTCTCAGCTCTTGCTGAAATCTTTTCCCTCAGCCCATTATTCAAGGGCCAGGGACTTGCTGTATGTCAGGTGCTGGGTTTGATTTTGTTTCTCTTTTAACTTTGTCTTTGTGCAACACTTAATGTTGATGGGAGCTAAGTGGCTTGTAAATCCCTGACACATATAATCCTAGAAACACACCTGTGGGGTAAGCACTGTTACTTCCCACGCTCACGCGCGTGCACATGATAAAGCCTAGCTTCACACCCAGGTTGGGTTTGCCTGGCTTGCCTGGCATGAGGCCTTGCTTTTGCCTGCCTTTCTGGGTATAGGTGTTGGGGACAGAGTGGGGAGCCCTGAGGGACTTCCATCCCAGTGGGAGGCAGACCGGAAACACCTCCGAGCCTGCTGTCTGCTGGAAAGGCTGGGTTACCTGTGAGGCTGCCAGATGATCGGCGGGCTTCCTGCCTGTGTGTTCCCCAGCGTGCGTGACCCGGGTGCCTGAGCCAGTCCTGGCACGCAGTGGCTCGGTTTTAGTTTTGCCACTTGGACAAGGGTCTTAACCTCTGTGACTCTATTTCTTTATCTTTCAACTACAGATGAACACTGACCACTTCCGAGTGTGCCTGAGTGTACACACAGGACAATCTTGCTGCGTTCCACCTACTAGGGATTCACCTTCACTTTCCCCTCCAGTGAGGGGGATGGTGAATTACAGGGATAAAAGAAATCTGAACGTGCTTCCTCCCTTTCTGGAGGTGGAGTGGGTCCGTCATTATAGGAAGTTCTGTTGATAGCACTGTTCTGGTGTTAGATCCCCACACAGTGAAAAGCTTTCTAAAAAACCTGGTCAAAGCCAAATGAATCCGATCAGCAGGAGGCCAGGGGCGGAGGGTAAGGCCAGGGGCCAAGAGTATGTGAGGGGCCTGGTCCAAAGGCCTGCGGCAGCCTGAGGGCAGATGACGAGGCCAACAGCAGACACCCGTGCAGCCCTTCCTGTGAATTAAAACCCAGCTTTAAAGCCTCCTGACATTCCTCGGAAGTGGTCAGTGTTCATCTGTAGTTGAAAGGTGAAGAAATGGAGTCATAGAGGGTAAGACCCTTGTCCGAGTGGCAAAACAAGGATTTGACCTCAGATTGTCCAGATCCGGAGTTGCCACACTTTCGCCCTCCAGTCTGCTTCCTTGGAGCAAGAGACACCTGACTGCAAAGATGCAGGTTAAAGGTGGAGGCAGCGAGTTTGGAGCTGGTTGCAGAGCCAGGCGAGGGAGGTGGCTGACTGGGAAAGGCGACTGGAACCGTGGGCAGCTTCTTGGGGAGGCAGGCCGTGGACAGATCCCAGTTCCCTGGGGAAGACGGGTCCTTTTCTGGGTTGTGGTTCAAACTGAGAAGCCCTTTCCCTCGGAGAAGATGGTACTGTTTTGAAATTAAGGAGGTAAGGACCTGAGGAGCTTCTCCAGAGTCCAGATCCCCTCAGTCTGCACTGAGGCCACGGTGTCAGTGACTTAGTTCAGACTCTTACTGGCTCTGGAGTAGCTGTTCTCAGAGGTTCTGGGACCAGCACCTGAGGAAAAGTTAGAAAAGCAGTTTCTGAGGCCCCGCTAGAATCTCTTGTCTGGGCCCTATTGTTATATAATCGATCCTCCGGATGATTCTGATACCAGCTGAGGTTTGAGAACCACTGCCATAGAACCAGTCTTTTTTTATTTGTTTGCTTGGTTTTATGATACGGGGTCTTGCATGTAGTTCAGGCTGGTCTTCAACTTACTTTGTAGCCCAGGCTGACCTCAAACTCAAAGCAATCCTCCTGCTTCGGCCTCCTGAGTGCTGGGATTACAGGCTTGCATCACCACTCCCGACTCATCATTTAATATACATGTATTTTAATAGAAATTAGTGTCAAGAAACAGTAGTCTTGTGAGATATAGCTACAATATACTGATGATTTTCTGTTCTATTTTACTAACACATTCGTGACGGAGACCTGATTTGTGTCTTGCTGCCAGGTGGCTTGAATCATCAGTGGTACCTGCATGACTGTGCTGTCCATACCTGTCCCACTTCTACCTGTGGTGGTTCAAGCCGGCAGGAACGTGTTGGAAAGAGTGCTGGTCACAGTCAAAGCCTACTTAACTGATTTTCGGGTCTGTCCTGGGCCACAGTTGAAGCCCCTGCCCTTGAGCAAACCCAAGGTGGCTTTGAGCGTGTGCCACCAAGGCCCCTGCTCCGTACTGGGTATTTCCTGTCTCAGCCTCAGAGTTTGGCTCCTGGGAATTCCTGTTTCTCTGGTGGATGTGGACCTGCATCCACCACCACCCATTTATGCTGGGTTCAGTTGTCGACCCCTCCCAGATTCACCTGTTGAAGTTCTCACCTGCAGTACTTTTGAATGTGACGCATGGGTTAATTGTGAGTCAAGTAGGTCCTTACATTGGCCCTGCTCCAGGAGGACTAGTGGTGACCACACCCGCGTGGATGATGTGAAGACAGGAGGCAGCGCTCTGTAAGCCTCAGTCAAAGCCTCAGAAGAAGAAACCACTCCTCGTCTCCTTGATCTTGCCCTTCTAACCTTCAGCACTGTGCATGTAACTTTCTGTTGTTTAAGCCTCGGACAGTGCCTTTTTTTATTTTATTTTATTTTTTTTTTATGGCAGCCCGAGCAGATAGATGCAGCCCCTGTACTTCGGAGAGGCCGAGGCTGCTCATCCGTCAAGGCTTGCTCGTCTGGTGGTAGTCTGTCCTCTATTAGACTGATCTCCAAGGATCTGCCTCCTTGTGTAACCGGCTCGTTGTAGACCCTGCCTTTTCCTCGTGTTTTCTGGGTTGAGCTGAGGTATGATCCCTAAATCTGTCCCGAGTAGAGCCGGGTCCTATGCACTCTTCGGAGGGCTCTGCTTGTGGATCGGTATGGAGTAGGACAGCATGTTCTGTCCCTGGACAAGCGGTCTGGGTGTTCCTAGGGTAATTGTTGCTCTTGAAATCATATCATCATTTCTGTTAGTGTTTTCGCCAGTGCCGGTGGGGCACAGCAGGCGGAATTGTAAGCTGTCGTGTCCTCAGGCTGCGGTATGACTCAAGCCTGTGCTCCACGCTGAAGGAACTTTCTCTTTTACATCTACATGCAAATTGCCCTAAAGACGTTACTTTTGGGAAACCCTCATGCAAGTCCCTAGGGTGTCCTCTATTAACAGTTAAGAAAAGAGATGGAGCTGTTCTTCCAGGCAACCTCAAAGTCCTCTTTCCTCTCCCTTTAGAAGAGAAGGCGGTACTTGTTTCTCCTTAAACCATTTTTCGAAGACAAATTTAGTCTCTTTGAGAAAGCCAAAACAGGCTCTTTCTTCCTCTCCCTCTTTTGAGTGGATTTTGGTCATTTCTGCTGGGAGCTGCCCAGAAAGCAAACTGAAGGGAAATTCCACAAAGCCGCCTCCTCTCCACAGCTCTACTCAGAGGGATTCCTTTCCTGTGAGGAGGAGGCACATTTTCTGAGCATCTCTTCCTGGAAGGATGAGGTCCAACCGGCAGGGATTCCACAGAGCTCAGGAACATGTAAGAGGGGATAAATGGCCTTTGATTTCTGGGAATTGGCATTTTTATAAAAAGGAGAACAGGAGAGCAAGTGAGTGGTATTGTGGAAAGTATCAGGCTGCAGAAAAATCAGTTTTACAGGTTACACTGGGTTTTGACTGGCAGTTTGGGTGAACCCAAAGCCATTTTTTTTTGTTGTTGTTGTTTTTTGAGACAGGGTCTCACTATGTAGTTGAGACTGACCTGGAACTCACTAGGTAGCCCAGTGATCCTCCTGCCTCAGCCTCCCAAGTGCTGAGATTACAGGTGTGCACCACCATACCTGGCTGAAGCCATTTTGATTCCCTGTCTCAAATTCTTCTGGTGAAATTAGTGGCAGATAAAAAATGGGGGCTCAGGAAGGTAGAAATGACTCACCCAGGGTCTCACAGAAAAAGCCCGTGTGCCATTTCCTTCCTCTCCTGGTTTCAGATCCTATTCCTGGCAAGAATTTCCAGAAAAGAAGAGGTGAACTTGAATTTGAATATTGAAGGTGCTATATGCCAAGTGTGGTGACGGCAGTGTCCCTGCATGGGGGTCATATTGGGGATTGGGCAGGGAGCAGGCCACCCTGGACCTGGGGGACCTGTGGGCCCTCGGAGCAGGTGAACATGATTGGAAAGTCTCAGCCCACACTTCCTCCCTTCCCCAGGCCTCCTCTTCCTCCCGCTCCTGCCTCCCCTCTGTTCTTTTCTGCTGGGCTCTGCAAATCAGCCCCCTTTTACCAGTTTCTCTCATCCATGTCAGAGAGGGTTTGGGAAGAGTGGCATCATCTTCGTCACCCTGAAGCCAGAGGGAGGGTTCCTCCCACCTCTGCCCAGCCATTCTGATCACTCCGGGACCCATAAGACTGTCGCAGTGGTTTCCTACTTCCCCAGGTCATCCCCTTTCTTAGACGCGGCTGGGGTGCATGTCTCCTCCCATAGCGAGGTGCAGAGAGGTTAAATTTCATGCCAAAAGAAACAGAGCAAGTACAGGGAGGGGCTGGGCTGTCAGATTCCCTTGGTCAGATCTCCAAAAGTCACACGCAAAGCAGATAGAGGAGGCTGAGCCCCATCCCGGAGTGCGTGTGAAGAGCTGGGGTGGCCCGGGAAGGACCCCTGGAACATGTGCTGCCTCCAGTGACGTTGCGTTTCCCTGTGCAGAAAGGCTCTTTCCTGTCCTTAAATCCCCTAAGACGTGAGCCTGCTGGAGCATGCTGTGTACAGACATGGATTTCCTTTCCTAGGGTTAGCAATCTGCTGTTGATGTTTTTCAGGCCAGATCTTTTCTTCCGAAGTGTGACCTGCTGCCCAGTGGCCTTAGGTTAGACTGTGGAAAGGGGTTGCTTTCATGCTCTGCGTCCCCCATCAGGCCATATTACTTGCATCCTTTTATTTCAGGAGTTTATTAGTGTGACGGCCCCTCTCCCCTCACATCCTTTTCCTAAAAGGAGGAAAGAGGATCATACCCGAATTCACCATGAAGTTAGAGTAACAGTAGAATTTTTAACCTGCTGAGGTTTTTTGGGACAGGATCTTGCTATGTAGTTCAGGCTGACCTTGATCTCACTGTGTAGCCCGGATTAGCCAGGATTCTTGGCTATCCTTCTGCCTCAGCTTCCCAAGTACCAGGATTGCAGGCCTGCACCACCACGCCCAGCAGTCTCTCTTTTTAGATCTGGCCGAGTGGTGGTGACCTCGGTGTACCCTGATCGTACTGTATTTAGCGATAGCTCCCGTTTCAGTTCTGAGTGTCCAGGGCCGATGAGAATTTGACCAGTCACCCTGCTGAAGTTCACAGTCCTTGAGAGTTGCTCCCTCCAGACCCCCACCAGGTCTGTGCATCAGATCCGTGCACTGGATGATGTAAATACTTGCCCACCTTCACCCAGAGTGACAATCGGTGAAAGCCTCTCACTCCCCATGAGGGGTAGCTGCAGCAGTGACTGGGCCACCTTTGCTTTGTACATGAGGACAGTGGCCCTGACAGCTACAAGGGCAGTGTGTGGTCCTCTTCCTGCTCTTCCCTCCACATGGCCCGGCTTGGCCTTGGAGTAGGTCGGACTCACTGCCCAGGGTCATTGTGCATCGGTCCAGTTTGTGGGGGCTGGAGGTGTCTCCAGAAGACAGGGTGAACACAGCCAATGAAGGTGGTTGTGAATATGTGAGCGGAGCAGGTGTATGGCACAGAAAGCCAGGGCAGGGGGCCTCATCTGCTACCCAGGATCCAAAGGCATCTTGGGTGGGGGCGTGGCTGGCAGACCTCCGTGATCACGTGACCGCCACCCCTTGGCTGGCTCCGGCCCTCTGACTGGTTCTCCCTTGTTGGCGTTGGTGGGGAGAAGCAGTGGGCAGGTGAGGCTGGGGAAGTGGATTTCTCAGCCCCGATGGGGGAGGAACATCATGTCTGAGGTCTGGGTCCAGCTCCGTCTGAGCCAGTTTCCTTGTGCTCAGTGGAAGGCACACTATGAGTCCGCAGTGTGGATGGAAGAGATCGGGAGCCATTGGTGATGCCTTCCGGCTGGACCTGGTGCCCCACTGCCCTCTGCCGTCTTCAGGACTCCCTTATGGTCCCCGCCGAGGAGGCGACACGCTGAGCAGTGATGGCTTCTCGTGAACCTTAGGCCTTAGGGCTTCTGCACAGCTGCTGTCATTGCCAGGAGCATCCTGGCCCCTGCTTGTCACTGTGGAGGTGACTTCTCATTGCCCCCTCCCGTGTCGCCTCCCTGACTTCCGTGTGGCTCTCAGGGTTATCCCGAATCTGCCTCTGTAGTGGGGTCCTCTCCTTCTTCCCCCTCACTGCCCCCGAATGAATAAAAAGACCGGCATCTGTGATCTGGAACCCAGAAAAGTGGCTGTTGCATTTGGGCACTTAGAATCAAGTTGAATTAAACAAGTGTGCAATTCTAGTTTCCTGTGGTTCTTCCATTGAGATTCCTGGTAAAAAATTTTCATTGTGTTCCTGTTTGTTAATAAAAAGTGTGCTCCCCATGGTGTGGTTGTGAGAAGGCTCATGAGGTTTGAGGACAAGGGAGGAGGAGTCTGCCTGGCTCTGGCTTCTTTGGAGAGACACAGAGCCGGTGGCCCCATCTCTGCTGTTGGGGTTCTTATCCCAGTGGGGGGATTTGCCTGTGTGAGGTGCCCTCTCCCCTTCATTCCAATGAGCCCTTGGAAAAGGGGCAGAAGGGGGTGCCAGACGGAACTGGATTAGCTTGGAAGTGGCATTCAGAAACCTAGCTTGGATATAGGAACATAAGGGCGAGCCGGGCCAGCTTGGCACGAGTGACAGGCTGCTCTTGAGGGAAGGTCTCCTTCACAGGGTCGCCTCCGAGCCTTACAGGACCCATTTGTGTGGTTTTCAGGTGCTTTTGTTTTTCACCTCTGTCAGCATCTGTGCTTACACCAGTTTTCATTGTGCATTGGAAGCTGTTTTAGAACCTGCCCAGAGATTCCTCATAGAGTTTTCTCTCAGTTTCCTACTAAATAAACTTTAATTAGACCATGTATGGAGGCTTTTCAAAGGGTATTTTTGTTCTTTCTGAATATGCAGCTACTCAAGCTGAGTGTTGGTATGTTTGTAATTGAGCTAACGCTTTATAGAATGAACTGGTTTTGCTGGAATTTTCCTGAAGTCTGTCTCATTGACAGTACGGTCCAATGAGAAAGGTCTCTGATATGTAATTGTCTTAACACTAAATAATAGTCAGAGATGTTACTACATTTTAAATCAGTGTTTAAGCCAGTGTTACTGTTTTGGACCACTGCTGTTTGCCCAGTTCTCAATATTGTGCATGAACTGTAGTGCCCCAGTCCGGTATTGTGCAGCACACACTGTTTCTGTTCAGAGGAAGTCCATTCCAGGTCTGGAGTTGTTGCCAAGGACCCAGCGCAGTGCCTAGGTGGGACCCATCTGCATGGAGAATTGGTTTCCTGTCCTAAGCCAGCAAGGGAATTGCAGACTTTTGGATCACACCTTTCGTCCTGCTGCAGAGCAATGAAGGCCTCAAGTGATTTATTTATGGAGCGTAAGCAATCTCGGTTATTAGCTCATGGACGAGTACCAGAAACGTGAACTCAAACTGGTGCTTATTTAGCCTTTGCCTTTCCTCCTTAGACTTTGGAGTAAAGTTGTTTTTTTTTTTTTTTTTTTTTTTTTTTTTTTTTGGTACCGGGGATTGAACTCAGGTCCTTGTGCTTGCAAGGCAGGCGGCAGAACCACTGAACTAAATCCCCAGTCAGCCTTAAACTTTGGAAAGGTGGTGTTATAAAAATTAAATGGAAGCCTTGG